AAGCAGGAGTGACTGGAAACCCAGGCCCTGTGCTGGGAGGAAAAACCATTTACAAAGTCACTTTAGAACACTGGCCTTCCTTTCTTACAAGAAACATAAAGTGTACTTTACAATACTTCTAACTTCTAATTCAGTAACTCTCTGTGATTATAGGAAAATCTATCATTTTATCAAATTGTTAAAACTTTATTCCTACTGTTAAAATGTATGACATTTTCATCCTTATTTTCCTAATTAAACCCATTATGTTTTTACAAAAATGTGAAAAAAGTAAAGAGAACAAGTGTATAAATTAATTACAAAAAGATCATAGAATTTCTTGTCCAAAGTCATATGATACTGAAATTCTGTAATAACTTTGTACTTTTTGTAAATATCCAGATAATGATTTTTAGAGCAAGATATTCCTATTTCTAGCACCTCCTAGACTTTGAAATCAAATATTTTGTTTTCCCCTTAAAACAAAATGGCAAATACCTCCCTAGTTTGATAGAAATCCTGAGATGGTACTTCTTATCATGTTTATTTAAACTGCCTGCATCCTCAGGTGTAACCAATAAAAAATAATTACTTGGAATGCAGAACTTCAATAGAAACTCCGGGCATGTGTAGCTCTCCATGTTCTGAGGGTTTACTAAGACATCACCTTGGGGCATTTTAAGCTTTCTGCTAGAAGCTTTCTCTATTATCTCAAATTCTTATCTCAAATCCTCACAACATGTCATAATGTATATGGTATAACCTCATTTTACATAAGAAAAAAATTGAGACAATTTCACTGTGATTAAGTGGCAGACCTGGGAATCAAACCAGATCAATCTACCTGAATCCAAAACTAGTTTCGGGTTAGGTTTTGGCTTTGATTTTTTTTTCCTACCCTCCCCAGCACCACGACTAAAATATTCTACCTTTTATATTATAGGGAAATAAAAATCATTCAGACCTAGATATGGAAAAACCTTAGCCAAAGAATGTGCATTCATTAATAAGAATAGAAAGAAGTTATTCATGGGAAAGAGAAGAAAAATCAGCACCAGCTTCCCTCAGCACTCTGCCAGAGTCTAGACATTAAAACAAATGGACAAAAAGTTCTGATTCCTAGTACATACATATAGAGGACTGCCACTCATTCCCCGTTGTCTCTTCTTGTTTTGTTTCTTTGGTGATAACCATCTCATTTCTACCTTTTTTAGTAATGTCTCTACCACTCTTGTTTCCATGTAATCAGGTAAACAGAAACACAGAATCCATTGCACATAACCTAAGGTGGCGTGTGTATATTATTAACTTTTAGAATCCCCATCACCTAACAGAACCTAACACACAATGAATACTCTATAAATACTTCATGCTCGGTAATTAGGAAACCAAACCGGTCACATGATCAGACTAACAAGCAGCCCTCTGGACTCAGCTGAGCTCACTCTCGTATCTGTGGTCAAGCGGCAGTACGGAGCCTCACTCAACATCTGACAATTGGCTGACTGTAAGTGTGAGTATTGGAGAGTAACTAAGCAACTTGGCCCTATCATCTACCAGGCTAGACTAGATTTTTAACATGTGGCAATCACAGGCTTCCAAGAGCAGCAGTAGGGGAAGGCTCGATACCTAAGCACTTGCCAAGTCTCTGCTTGCATCATGTTTACCATAGACCCGTTGGCTAAGCAGTTCATCAGGCCAGCCAGACTCAAGGGATGAAGAAAGACTTCATCTCTTAATGGGTAGAGCTACAAAATCACATTCAAGAACCTGGTACTGGGCAGGGGCGATGGGGAGTATTTTTTCGTTTTTGCGATCTAGTACGACAGCTATCCCCAGAAAGCTAGCATCTTGCACAGTAGCTAAATCCACCAGGTATCAGGGCTGAACTGTGGACAGCAGAGTATTCCCGTTACAGATTAAGACACCTATCTTGGGTAAAAACAAGTTTTTCCAGATTATTGAGTCCCTGGTCTGTTCCCATTATCAATTTAAAAGACAGACTCCGCCCAGCAGTTTTCACCAATGCAATGGAACATGTTTCTGTAATTCTCTGTCTCACTAGAAAGCAGAAATTTTCCAAGATTTAATATACTTTCCACACTAGCCACTGAATTAATCTCAAGGCTTTAATTTATAATTCATATTTATCAACAGTATTACAAAAATCTGACTTGTTAAGCTAGAAATCACTAGCAACTTTTATATGACAGTGAGTATGTCATCTTTGGTACATGGACCTGACAGCATCTATGCTGGTTATTCAGAGGTTTGATTTGTTTATTCCCTGATTTTTTACCAAACTCCAAAGCATTGAGATGAGTAACATTTGTTATAAGGGCTTCTCAAATTGACTTCATTGAAACCCTTGGCATCACCACATCGCCTCTGTAAATAATCTCTACCTGGTTAACTCTAATTCATTCATTAAGGCTCAGGACAAGAGTTATCTCCTCTAGCAAATTATCTGTAATTCCCTTAAACCACTGTATTAACTGTGTGTGCTCCCAACACCTAACACTTCCCCTCTAACACCACACTGTGTTGAGTCATTTTTAATAGATTATCCCACATTAAACTATATGTTTCTTGAGGGTGCACAGTTGTGTTCATCTTTGTTTCATCCAGCAAAGCCACTGACATGAATGAATGAGCAACTAATATATTTCAATTCACAAGATTGTGAAACAATGTGTGACCACATTTATTTTAATATCCAATAATAATGACTTTAGGCTTCCATCTTGCTGATCTCAAGAAGTACATTCATCTAGACACTAGATTCCCAAGTGGCTCCTGGCCATCTTGAAGAATGCTCACATGGTTTATAAAATTGGCCTTCTTTATTACTGCACCCGCACACACACCAGAAACGGAAGCTCAAGTGCACTCCTTAAGGTCTGTCTTGTCCTGCTGACCTCCAGAGCCCCACCTGCTTGTTTCTATTTCCTACATTCAGCTGCTTCTATGCATATTTTAGCACTAAGCTCTGTTTAGAATAGTAACTAAAGTCCAATTTGCTCCAACAGCTGAACCACAGTGGTTCCTAGAGTACAGGGAAAGTTCCACCTCTCCAAAATGTTACACTCAGTCCAAGATCAAAGACCACTCCACTTCTCAGTCCACTCAGAGCCTAGACTCTAGAAGGCCCATCTCTTGGTGATCAACTTGTTTAAGTTACAGGCACATAGACATTTTCCCCAAGAAGTGCCCACATTGCCAGAGGAGCTAGGAAAGGAAGAGACCTGGTAACAGCTTCTTGCTGCACCTAGTACAGGCCCTTCCCTGCGACAACACAGAAACTGGTGTTGAGCCCAGGTCTCTAGTGTGTTGACATCCTCATTCCTAGTGAACCTGAGGCTGGCCATAGGGAGGTATGAGATGAGACAGGCTATCTTGGTCTCACTCCTTGGCCAGATGCTTGTTGAGTTGCAGAGACCAGAGTGGAAAAGGGCCCTTAGGAGAACATAACATTTGTTTCCCAGTAGATTGAGGGGAAATGTGAAATTCGAGAAAAGTACCTGCTCCTTGTCTGAGAAATTCTAAAGTTAGGAGGTTAGCTGAAGTGACGAAAATAGCAGTCCAAAAAAGAGGGTCATCAGATAGCCAAGAGGCAAATCTATCATTTCATGGGCCAAAGACATATTAGTTCCAAGGACTAAGCAGGTGTCACACAAGATAGTGGCCTAAGACATGAAGGCAATGGGGGGAAAACAAAGCTGTCTATTGACTGCTCTTAATTTTTACCTATTCTGTTTATTAATGGGCTGAAATTAGGTTCTACGAATATTGGCCTTTGGGATACGTTAGTTCTGTAGTACAAGGCGGCAAGAAACTATTTACAGATACTACTTGCTAGTAGAAAGAAGCTATTAATATCATGGTAGGCTGAGATCTCATAATTTCTAGAACTAAACAGGAAGCAAGTAAGTAGTTATAAAATCATTCTAAACAGC